TCTCAAATCCTATGTACGTATAGGCAATAAATGCTGATATTGAAAATAAATAATGCTGATAGTGGAAATATGGGCGAGATTGTGTTCAGGCATCATCGACAACAATGAAAATACAACTACTAATCTTCATCAGGAGCAAACTCTATAAGAAGTTTACTGTTAGCTTGATCTGTCCGAGTATGTCTGTGATTGGTAGCTGTCCAGTAGTATCGCGGTGTTTGGTTTGCTAAAATTGAATGCGTACGTGTTAGTAACCGCGTGAATATTGCACAGACAGCGGCGTGGGCTCGTGGTCGCTGTCACTCGAACTCTCGTCGTCGTGGCGTCAGGGCGGGTTGTGAACTTGTGATCCACTTGTGATGAAACGCATACTAAACCTTAACGGAAGATGGTGCCTTTCTGTTCTTTCAAAGAAATTCAATCTCGTACACTGAACCAGTTATTCCAGTATTGACGTATTAATTCCGAGTGTATTTGAGTGGAGCAGTATTTCACATAAGACTCTCGAAAGCCTTCAACGCTGACCTATACTGAGTGATTCGTTTGTAAGAAAATAGACATTAGCAGCATCCCGTTTCTCGTATTCCATTTCATTCACAAAACTTGTTAATTTCGAAACGACTTCATTTATTAGCCACGGATGATACCAAAAGCTGTTTCATGCTGCAGTATTATCACGAGAGGGTTCACGGCTCTTATCTAGTCTCCAAAATGTTCAATTTTAGACAGCGCCAATTTTAATTTTTTTACGTCGTGAATTCTTGTTAATTTCCGGAATAAAAATTACCCTGAAATTCTACATTTCCAATGGGGAAATTAATCTTGGATACAGCTTCATCAAATGATGAAGCTGTATCCATCATAACGCTCGAGATGTTAATCCTATAAATTGTATCAAAAAGATACATTAATTAGGACCTATCAACGAATTTGTCGTCGTTGTAGGTGTAATCAGTAACAAGGAATTCAGTCGGAAATATCATGAATACGAGTATGAATTTAATGTTGTATTCAGCGAGGGCATTACTTAGACTCCTGCGTCTCGAAATAATTTTCTCGAAATGAACCGGGACAGACGAAACGAGACGAGAAAATTCCGGGAAAAAAATAACGGGACAGAGGGTAAAATTTGTCCCGGAATAAACGTATGAACCGAGACAAGACTTCTGTCCCGGACTTTAAAACTTGTGTCCCGGTAAATTATGAACCGGGACGAGAC